ATGCACTTTCCCCTCCCTCCCTCCTTCCCTTCATGTACAGATAAATGAAATACATGAAGAATATGGAGAAATTCAGATACAAATATGAGCACTCTTAGTTTTGATACCCAGTGCATAAAAACCACACGTTTCTTTAAAGAATACAAAGGCAAATAGCATGCACCAAATGTTTCAAAAGAACAGGCTGTACTTTAAGGAGGATGCAGTTCTAGGCTGATAGGCTAGGGAAAGCTGATGAGAGTGGCAGTTCTGAGAAGCAGCGTTCTGTGGAAGCATGGTGTCAAATGAGTGCAGCATGTGTTGCTGTAGCAACAAAATATTTTGAAAAGACCATGCATTTGAAAACAATAAGGCAGAGCGTCAGAAACATTATGAAACTTGCAGAACATGCAAGCAGGTCCTCTCAATTAGCTGCCGAGGCAAACGGGCTCTTAAAAGAAATCCTTCAAAACCAGAGGAGCTATTTCAAAATTCAGGAATTTACTTCCTTTTAAAGGACCGCCTTGTCGGCACTTGCAACAGCTCCCCCAACAGAACTATGCAAAGGAACGATTGCGAACTATGGCTTCCAGGCTGTTATCACACAATCCAGCTCCAAACAGCAGCACAACAGAAAGGCATCAATTCAACGCTGACATTCAGACTTAAGAATTAATTGCCTGATTCCTTATGCTGAAGGCATGACTGGCAATGGACATGGGCCACACAGTACCGTACCCTATGAGAATAGCTCTGGCCTCTGACAGGTGACCCGCAAGATCTCCTTGTCGTAACAGGGCTACGAGGAGGTTTGCCGATGACCAATACCTCTCTTTTTAAATCGGCCTGGAAAAACCACAAACACCATGTCAATGCATTTTTTATGGCCGTGAGTTTAGTTGGGCATTACCAGTGGTTCCTGCTTTCATCTCATGTACAAGCTGCACAAACCCGTTGTCTCCATCACCCAAAAAAGCCCCCTGTGCAAAAGACATGCATGTGTGTTAGTGCAATGCACTTGGAAAGCTACGGTTATCCGCGGCGTTATTATTATTATCTTAATCCTGAACTTTCAAGGTTTACATATAACTTTCAAACCTACACAAGACTCTTCCACTGTAGGCATTCAAACTACAGCTGTATACTTTGTATTAATACAGGGAGCCAAAACACAGCGGAGAGTTCCCAGCCAGCAGGAAGATACGACTGGTAGCTGATGTAACTCTCTAGAGATTAAAAATTGAACATGGCTAAAACATGCGACCTCCTGTTAAGCAGGCATTTGCGTGGAGGGTGGAGGCGGCAGGAAGTGATATATGATAGAAGATCAAGCAAACATCTCCCTTAAATTAGATTCCAAAGCTTTCTGCTCAGAAGTGGGAAAAAATATAGGGAAAAATGCAGTCAGGAAGTATTCAGATTTTGCATATTCCAAAAGGCACTGACGCAGACAGTATGAGTCACATGATGCTTCCAGATTTCAAACTTCTGTTGCATTTGGCAGCATTCTAAGACTTGGGGAATGTTTTGATTCAGAGAGCAAATGGCCGATGGTTTCAATGGCACAATACCAGTTTCTGTTTTGGATATAATTCCTGCTAATGACCGAAAGGCTGAAATGTTAATTGGACTCTGAAGTGTGTAAATGGTGGGTGAAAAAAAAAGAGAGAGCTGGGATTCCTGCATGGTGGTTTAGAATCTAGGTGCAGGCTGTGCCACCCTGGAAACATTTTGGGTTGATTCCAACTATTTGCTGTCATAATACTACGCAATGGAAGAATTCAGCAATATTTCAATAGTGGTCTTCCTGCTAGCTTTCAGTCTTGTGTCTGCACAAAAGTTCAGCTGCAAGAATGATGGCATCTACCCAGGGGTCATTTCGTAGAAAAACAGGTTCAGCCGCAAGAATGATGGCATCTACCTTGGGTTCCAGTCCCTTGGAGATCACAACACTGGCTCAGCCACACTGGCACACTGTGCTTCCTAAGAGTTTGGATCCAGCCAGCTTTTTTCCAATTGATTCCCTCCTTTCTTCGGCTGTCTGATGTGGCTTTTGTCCATGGAGGTCCCATAATCTCCACCATAACCTTCTTGGTGGTGAAAGGGGATTCCCTCATCCATTTTTCAGCAGTGTAAATGCTGCCCGGATCCAGTTATGGAATTTAGGTGTAGCCTTGAGGAAATTCGCCTCAACAGCTGTGAGATAGTGATTCTGATGGTGCCTCCTGCTTGCCTGTCCTTGCTGGGACTCCCCAGATCATGGACCAGCCCTGTCCCGTCCCCTCCCGAGAGGCCTCTAATATCTGATTTAAACATTTATCTGGCAGGACAGGCCCATGCTTTTTTGCATTTAAACTGGGTCCTCATCCACTCCATGTATATAATATTAGTATGACAGAGATCTGCAGCCATGGTGGGTGTTGTGCTGGTGTACTAATGCTGCATGAAGCGAATGCTTTGGGATGTACTGTGACGCATTTTAGGCCAAATTTCAAGGTGATGATGACCATGTACAACATTGCACAAATAAATTCTTCTTGCCCCACGAGTGTGGAGATGCCAGTATGGGTCACTTCTGGCCCAGCTTTGTTTACTTCTGCTTGGGTTGGCCATGGCACAGAGCTGGAGGAGGATACTACAGCTCCCAGAAAACAACAGGGATTCATACTTGCGATAACACAAAGGACTAAATGGCTGTCTGGCTAATTTATTCAGCACTTCAGTGAGTTACCCAAGTATGTGTTGTGGCACAGCCTCCTAACATGAATCATTTCCAAAGCAGATAACAGTATTAAAAGCCTACACCATAAAAGTCAACGGTAGCTTTCCAGTAGATTTAATAGGCTCTGGATGAGACTTTTACTGCAATTTTTTTATAGTAAACATCTTAATAGTATTAAAAGAGGAATCAAAACTTTGATACAGACAAGAACAGCTGTGGGAAATATTAACTGTGGGTGATACTATGCAGCAAAAATCAACCTCTGCCCTTTCTTTTTACCTGTAATATCTTAATTCTGATTTATTGGTTTCAAGGACCTGATTAACTTTTGCAGGATTGCACCGAATACATTTAGGATTAAGTTACTTTAATACATTTAAATAGTTTACCCTTGCAAAAATTTTATCTGATTGCATGCGTAAGTTATTAGATGTTAGTTACCAGCACATTTAATCTTTGTTAGGTTAACCTCTGAATTCTCTGCTTGTCAAAGCACTTCAGAAGACGTGCAGTATTTCATACTAGGTAGACTCTGTTACCTTAAACTTTGGTGAACTTTTCTCTTGTCTGTATGACAGTTTGGAAAGGAGAGGGGGTGAATGGG